GGGCTGGATTAAAAGGTCTGACAGGCTGGACGCGGCCTGCGGGCTGTAGTTTGCCTACCGCTGGCCTAGAGAGAGGGAGGGTTATGGTGTTGAGGGAGATACGTTTTGCAGTTAGCCTGTTAGATGAGTGACCCCATACGCTCAGAAACAGAGCAGTGTAACCGTAACCAGAGTTAGTGTGTGGAGCTCAGGCATTTCTAAGCAGCTGTTTAGATCTGCTCTGGTGCCTTTCTTGCTGTTGTCCAGTTTCCAGGATACCTGTGTGCTCTTTAGGGTGGGGTCTATAGGCAGCTCCACAGCAGAGCCTCAGGCCATGTCTACAGCAGAGAGCTTATAGCAGCGCAGCTGTACGGATGCAGCTGCACCACTGAAAGATCTCTAGTGTAGCCGCTCCATGCCGACGGGAGAGAGTTCTTCCGTCGACATCATTAATCCACCCCCAATGACTGGGGACTGACCTATCTGAACTCCTGTAATTTGGGTCGAAAGCCAGAGCCTAAATATTTCCATGTTGAATCTGTGGCTCATTTTCAAACTTTGTGAGCACTAAAAGCAATAGAATAAAAAGCAGTGACATTTTCAATATGAAAGACAAAAAACACCCACTCCATAATTTATTTATCTATCCAAAATAGTGTGAATTATTCATTAAAGTTGATGTGAGTGTTTGAAAATACAAGAAGTTTAAAGAGGAGGTATTGTTATTAAGAGGAAGTTAATAATTCGGAGCTATTGATTTCTTAACAAATGAATGTGATTTTTCATAGAGGGGTTTCTTTCCATGACCCTCTTCAATATAGGCTGGATTTTGTCCAGGAGTTTGCCCTGAATGCAAAGCACTCCTGGCAGTATAACTTTATAACTCATTCTCACGCTCCTTGCTCTTTCTCCCTCCTCTTAGTCTTCTCCAACCAGAATAAACCATGTTTGTGGTGCCTGAATGAAGAAAGAAGCAAGGCTTAGTCCTATCAAATATCCTTCCTTGTGTTCTTGCTTTCTTGTTTTACCAGAGCACTTCTGCACAGGATGGCCTGTTGTCCCCTCTCTGGGACATGAAGAGCATCTACCCAATGTGCCATCTCCATTCAAGAGTTCTGCAGAGCACACCTGCAACTCCTCCTGGCCACTTCATGCAAAAATACAGCCGTCAAACACAGTGACTGTAATGAGTGCTCCAAACATAGGAGTTTGAGTTTTCAAACGCTGTCTTTTAAAGATATAATTAAATGTAATTCTCCAAAAGTTGTGAAGGAACACTAGAGAATCAAGCCATTCACTGTTCTTGTCAGTGGTGGATAGAGTGGATGGCAGCGGTAATGCTGTCATCTGAAACCTGTTCTACTAATACACCTCCACTCTGCCCCGAATGCACCCTCCTCTCTTGAAGTGTCTCTTGAACCTTGTACCAATTGTGGTTTAAAGCAGTTTTGCCAGGCCTTGCCCCAAACAGCTTAGTCTCAGTGATCTGTTCTAGGTGCATATATGGCTCTCGTTACTTGGAGCACCTCAGAAGGTTTAATGAATTTAGTGTGTTTCTCTTCACAGCACCCTGGTGAGGAAGGGAAGTGCTGTTATCCCCATTTTAGTGATGGGGAACCGAGGCATAGAGAGGCTAAGTGACTTGTCTTGGGTCACAAACGAAGTTTGTGGCAGAGCAGAAAATTGAACTTGGGTCTCCCAAGTCACAGGCTAGCACCCTAACCACTGTATCGTCCTTCCAAAAGGAAGGCTTTTACCAACAGAGAATCACCTGGAGGGTGGAGCTATTGCAAATGTGGGTTGGGAGCCCCTTTGGGACAACCCTTCAAACAAATATTTTTATTAATATAAAATGCAAAGGTGGGAGAGGAAAACCAGAACTGAAAGTGTTTAGACACTGCACTGAACACAATCCTGAATGAATTTGGGAATCACCCAAGCGAGAGGCACCACTTTGGAAAGCCAGTCATTGCTGACATTCGTTAGCAGCTGCGGACTCAGCTGAACTGATGCTGAATGTGATTTAGCTGCAAGTGTAGAAAAAGGCAAACCGGTTTTAACCCCAGTTTCTGAAGCAGTGCTGAACACATTTTGTCTTTGTCTACACTTGCAGCTAAACCACATTCAGTTGCTGTATCAATTGCTGACACCTGTTATCAGCAATATGTCATTTTCCTATTGTAGACAAAGCCCTTTGGCAGGGGCCTTAGATGTGATAATAAGCCAAAACTAATGAAGAAGCCTGAAACCATAACAAGACTGGGAAGAACAGCAGCAGGGAGGGGCCTGACAGGCAGGGTTAGAGTGGGGGAGAAAAGGAGACTGCCCTCTAGAAATGTAAGGCTTTTACTGTATTCCGGTTAAACCTGAGCTGTACCTACCTAGCTCAAGTCTTGCTGTGTATGAGACTGGACATATTATGTAAAATGCCTCCATTGTTTTAATCTCAGAGGCAGCAGAGAAATGGTCTCTGAAGACTACCCCACTCAAGACTCCTGATCACAAGTTCTGCACTAAGGAGTCTTCTTCCATAAGGTGTGCTGCTTGCAGGGCTGCAGTCCAGTGGGCACACAGCACATGCATAATGACCATGATGAGACATTAGTTTAAAGAACAAAAAGGGACCAACACCCTAACTGTTCATTATATCAGTGAGTAGCAAGAGACCTCAGTTGTGTACAGAGCCATTTATCTAGTTCATGAATTAGAGCCCTGTAAACTTCCTGAGTTCATAAAATTCAGCTAAGGCATACTTTAAGATCTGCAGAAAAGAGGCATATTTACTTCTCCAAGGCTGTCCTGTGTTTATTAGAAATTTTTAATTTTATCCACGTCGGATATCTGAGATATATTAAAGCCAATGCCATCTCTGACAATGGTGAAATATGACCACTGAAATGTGGTCAGTGAATTTTTACTTTCATATGTAGGATTTTATCCTTAACAGTTCTGTCTTCGGAATGCAGAGCTGAATGAAGACTGGGAGAATATTGAGGTCAGAGCTGCCAATTAACCTCTTGATTTCAGAGGCTGATTACTCCATTAATCAAGGGGCCAGAAGCAACGTAGATGATGGGAAGGGTTGTAGCTGCAGAATAACAATCCCATGAAGGACTGATTTATGTCGTACAGTGATGAATGTGGAAGAAAGGGAAGAGCGGGTGGTCAGGGATGCACCGACTTCTCAAGTTCATGAGCGGGTGCAATGTACCAGCAAGAAGGCCTCTTGTGCTTGTGAACAGGGTTTTGTAGTACTTCACTTGCTTTATCTCCCTCCTGTGATCAGTAGTTTTCTTTTATAGCAGTGCCTCAGTAAATAAAGTTTTCACAATAAATGTCCCTCCTGGACATTTGAAGTAGGGTTGGGGCACAGGGGTGGTGCATTAAATAACGTGGAATCTGAGGGCTTGTCTACATGGCGACATGCAGGAAAGTTAAGACAAAGTAACAAAAAGTGTGACATTAAAATGCATTAGTGTAAGCACATTATATCCTGTGTGGATGCCCTCTGAAGTAAAGTGGCCTTAGGCTATGTCTACACGTAAAACGCTACAGTGACGCTCACGACAGCAACAGGAGGGGTTTTCCCATTGCTATAGTTAATCCACCTCTCTGAGAGACATGAGTTAGGTCGACAGAAGAATTCTTCCATCTACGTAGCACTGTCTATACCAGGGCCTAAGTCGGCATACCTACGTCTCTCAGGGAGGTGAAAAATCCACACCCCTGAGAGACAAAGCTATGCTGATGTAAGTTTTCGGTGTATATCAGCCCTTGCTTTGCTTTAGCTTAATTGACTTTTAAATTAAGATGAATTAAACTAGACTGAATTAAGGCCATTTTAATTCGGAATAAGTGTGTCCATACAGGGATTTAATGCAGTTTAACTAATCCACTTTAAATGTTAGTTTGTCTTAACTTTCCTGAGTAGTCCTAATGTAGACCCTTTCAGCCCACCTGAGATGCTTTAATGAAACACTGTAGAATATAAGAGGATGCTGAAGCCCGATGAGGTGTCTGCAGATGATCTGAGGTTCAGGTGAACCTCGGGTACACCTTGTCCCTTCCCAACCCGTGACTTGTGAACATCTATGTCAAAGAGAAGGCAGGAGATTTTTGAATGATTCTGTTGGTTTATTGTTAAAAAGCATGAGCATTTTCTTAACTCTGGACTGCAGTGTTGATACACCAGGCTGACTTGGGAAGCGTCTCCAGTGTATATTTAAGTAAAGCCAATTTCTGCAATTAATGGGGGATAAATCGAGGTTTAGTTACTCAGAAGGCACCTTTGGTGAAAGATTCTTGGTAACTGATATATACGCTCTTGAAGGATTCACAGCACTGGCAGCTCCCTTTGGAGTATTAAAATACATGGGTGAATGGCAGACAGCCCCTACGAGCCTCTTTTCCAGAGACTAGTCCAGTTAAGGCAGCTAACTGGAAGAGACAATGGTGTTCATCAGACATTTTGTAACAATAAAACCCCCTTCCACAAATCTTAAGGGATTGCTAGACAGTTTGACAATTTGAGATCAAAGCACGTACAGTCAAGTCAGGTGTACTGGCTTCCACCAGACACATTTCTGTACGGTTGTATCTGCAACTGACTAAAGAATAACAGCTTTTCTACTGCCCTGCCTCTTAGAAACATAAACCGTTGTCTTGGGATCTGTAAAGGAAATAAGAACAGAGGAGGGGAGAGTATATCTTTGAATTTTTGTAGATCATTGCTAAAAGGTAAACCAAGCAAAGAACTCCCAGTGCCCACCCCCACGAAAAACTGTCTGTCTCTCAGATCCCAGTTTAACTTTTTTTAATGACCCTAAAGTACATAGCTCAGCCCCATATCATCCTTCCTGAGCTGGGAGAGGGCCTCTCAGCTCCTGACTTCTCATACCTTGCTTGCTTGTTCCTTTCATCTCACTTGGCTTGGCTAACACCCTAATTACAATGTAAGATCCATTTTGTGGCAATGTAACTTATACCAAGATACCCATTTTTTCCTCTCCTCCCTTTCCTAGAGCTGAAGAAGCAAGTGGAGAGTGCAGAACTGAAAAACCAACGGCTGAAAGAGGTTTTCCAGACCAAGATCCAGGAGTTTCGCAAGGTGTGCTACACACTGACAGGATACCAGATTGACATTACTACTGAGAACCAGTACCGGCTCACCTCCATTTATGCTGAGCACCAAGGGGACTGCTTGCTCTTTAAGGTAGGCCTGGATTCCCCCAACCCACCTGACTCTGGGGTAATCGTGATCAGCATGCCAGAATGGTCTCTCCATTCTAATTGCTGAGAAATGTCAAGTTAGTAGCTCCTGTTACATGACAGTTGTTCCTCTTTGACTGCCTTCTATATTTGAATAGAATGAGAGTGGAGATGCTTCCTCCTTTTAAATAATTCTGTGAGAAGACTTTGGGTCTAATTTTTCCTCTCACCTACAGCAGAGTAAATCGGGAGTAATTTAGGCTATGTCTGCACTTAAAATGCTATAGCAAAGCTAGGTCGCTCAGCAGGGAGGGGGAATGGATTTTGAGAGATGTAGCTATGCCGATGTATGTTTTCAATGTAGACTAGCCCTCAATCAAAGTCAGTGGAGTTACAACGGTTTAAAGGAAAGGAGAATATATCTACGCATGATGCTCCAGGAACCTAGTCTCAGAACTCACCATTTTCTACCGTCAGAGAGACGTGCAACATCTTCATATCCTCTAACCTGGCCAGAAGGATGTGTGTTTAGCAGGCTACTCTTTATGCTTGATCCTGCCTCAGTGTGAGGAGAGGACTAAATGACCTCTGAACATCTCTTCCAGCCCTACAATTCTATGATCCTGTTACCCAGGACAGGGCCTCATCCATTCATCTGCTCCAACATTTCAGGCTATTGTTTCAAGTGGAGCTTTCTCCTGGGTTTATTTGCAGTATCCAGTGCTCGAGGGACGTTCTGACAATGTGGAATTACTAAAGCATTGAATGTGTCAGAGCTCAACAAAAGAAAATCTTAGTTACAGAAGATGAGTGAGAGAATTGTTAGTTCAGAAATCAACAAGACGTTTAGGTGTCATTTATTTACCCAAGATTAGTTGGAATGTAAAACCAACTGCCAAAGCCAGCTACAGAAGTAAGTTTCTGTATACGTTGTTCCCCTTTTGCAAATCTTTATGAACTGCTGGAGTACAGATGATTTTTTAATTAGCTGGTTTGAACTGGCTGAGCAGTTTTCTGGCAAGAAGGGAGTGGTGGGGAATAGACATAGGCACTGAGGGCTGTTTATACATTCTAGGTTAATAGACGGTTATTTTGTAGTGCTGTCCAATGGAAATTGTTTATGATGTGGTCTTCTACCTCACCACACCTTCATCGCATCCTTTTCTCCTAAAAGTCACTTCTTTAAGGAGTCTTATAAACTGTAGCCTTGTAACAGCGTAGCTGGCTCATTAAATGAAACTGGGCTCAGTTCTCCTGGTCCAGTCCACATGCTCCCAGTTGTGCCAGTTAAGAGGGTGAGACAGCACCTGAGGGCTATAAAAGGTCAGTCAGAAGTCAGACAGGAGCGGGGCAGGAGATGAGAGCTGCAAGAGACAGAATGTGGTTCCTGGGAGAAGGCTGAAGGCAGGAGAGTGGCAAGAGGGGTCTACTGGCTACGGCCTCCAAGCCACAGAGCTGGAGAAGGCTGAAGGCAGGAGGATCAGCAGGGAGAGATGCCTGCTGGTTCCAAGCTGGAGAGCCAGAACCAAGCAACACAGAGGACTGAAGGAAGGGATAGCAGGAGAGGGGCTCACCCATAGCCACCTTCTTGCTGAAGAGCTGCACCCAAGGACCAGTAAGAGGGCCATGGGGGAGGGAGTGATGCTCCCCTGGCAAGGATTCTCCTAGCACAGAGACTGGGCATTCCTATTGGGAAGAGTGGAATTGCACCCCAGAAAGAAGATCTGAGGTGATTGCTGTCCTGGCAGAGTGACGGAAGAGGACGTATAAGGAGCCTAACCATGACAGAAGACACTAGGCCATGGTGAGAACAAGGACTATATGTACACGGGTGATATGGACTATGGTTTGGGACTTTTGTCATAGACTCTTTGTACAAGGTTGTTGTAATAAACTGGCCCCCGTAGGAGTATTTTTTAAGTAAGCGCCTGAAATGGAGTCCATTGGGTTACCCAAGAGGGAAACTGAGCAGAGGGTCCACTTGCAGGGCTGCCCCGAGACGGCACCTGGAAGGAGGCCACTCGTTTGCAAGCCTAGATACGTTTATTTTAGGAAAACTCAAAGCGATATAACTCATGAGGTGCATGCAGGACTCTGCCATGCAAAGGCATGGCCTTTTTATGCTTTTCATCCTCCTGCCTGCCCCTGTGTTGTCATCTCCTCTTCTTGCGTTGTCTTACATTGAAATCTCTAGGGCAGGGACCCATCTTTGTTTTTGGGAAGTGCCATGACGTCTATAGCACAAATAAGTAATACAACATTCTGATGCCCTGTGCTGGGAAGTGCCACAGTGGTCTGGCTGTATGGCTACGCTTTGGATACTGTCTTCCGTATGAGACTGTTATCTCATAGGCAGCAGTCTTGGGTCGCTATATTAGATAACTGAGGTGTGTCATCTGAAGCATCAATTTAGTTACACCCTTACACTGGTTTAGTACCATGGGTTTTATTTCCACGTACAGTAAAACGTCTGCATCCTAATCTTCATGCTCCTCCTATCATGATACATAAGACTTACTCTTATTTTTTGTCATTCGGGTCTAAATCATGAAGTGACATAATTAAAAACAAATCATGGAAAGCAGCCCCCGTCTCCCCCCGTGTCTCACTGTTAATGCTGGTGATAGCACTTTGCCCATCGCAGCAAGTGTCAACAGCCTAAGTTTACAATGCAGGCGGGAGCACTTTCTCCCTTTATAGAAAGTATACAGCACTAACGCACGCCAGACCCAGGAGGTCACAGAGTTTTACGGAAGAGCACTTCCCCTCACCCCATGGCCACGACAATTAGCACTTAAAATCATATCTGCTTCCAGTTGGTCCCATGAGGGCATGTGTCTTGTTTACAGGAAGAAAGAGGATGCTGGCGAAATTGAACAAGGGAGGAGGTGCAAGCAAAAGTTGCAAGGGTTCAACTTCAGCAGACTTAAGGCCAGTGTGTGCAGGGCCCAAGTCTTATTTTGTTAGGTAATGAGATTAATATTTTCCTGTCACTATACATTGGAGCCCCAAAACAAAACCCACCAGTCACAAGGCATTAACAGTGAAAATGAAGACACAAATGAGGAACCTGGGTAGGAACTAGGATAAGGCCTAGCAACAGTAAGATGCTTGGCTTCACAGCTTCTGATTTTGTCCTGGGCCTCCTGGACCAGCTGGGGAAGAGAAGCTGCAAAAGGAGAACACTCTGCCTCTTGGAAGACGCATTTTGTATCACTTTGTAGAAACTATCCTTGGACAACCAAGGAGCAGCCATGTCCCACCTTCCTTGGCTGGAAGGCACTTCACATGCATCAGATCCCTGAGGACACCTTCACCCCTTCCAGAAACAGTTGGCAGCTAAGACGGAACAATTAATTAATGTTTTAACCTTAGCATCTCTGGAATCCTATGTTCAAACATGCCTTGTCATAAGTTAAATGAACATGGTTCATCCCAGTTCCTAATGGTCTTTTGTCCACATTATACCTAGCACCATATAACTTGGTACAACTAACAGTGTTTTCTGTAAAGAGGTCAATGGCTTACTAGCAGAGATGTTACAGGTAGGTCAGAGCTGAGTGCATTAGCAAAGCTGTGTGTGGGAAGATTGCATATTGCCCACCTTGATTATAGCTACCCAGTGCTCTCATTCATTTACCTCCAAATTCTTCTTCATGCCATACCACAATAAACTGGCCAGTTGTTGGAAAATACTAAGTGAGCAGAGACTCTTATAGCTAAATACTGATCTTGCTTTACTTTCTTCACTTACGGCTTCATTCCCAAGAGTTTCCGTGGAACTAAATTGGATGTCACCAGACATAGCAGGAGAAGTTTAGAGCTCCAGCATTTTCAGGAGACACCTCTCAAGAACAGTCTCCCAGAACTGCTGATTGATTTATAGGCTTCCCTTGCATGTCATACCTCATGTCCCAAAGGTGAGGAATGGGTTGCCTTTGTATAAGAAGAGCAGATTTGAAATTCCTTTGACAACAGATGCCCCACAACAAAATCTCGGAATGTTTCTCATGTCTTAACCAGTTGCATCCCCAAAATCTATTGTTCAGATTAAGAGCAAAATATATACATCAAATTCTTTCCTGGGTGAGTACAGACTGCTGATTCCCAGGTATACAATAAGGCTTGGATCCTGATTATGGCTTCTCAGTGGGGTTGTATGTTTGTGCTGTAGAATCTCTGAGCTGTAATGACTGTGGGTGTTTGTGTGCATTACATTAAGCTGGAGAGGTCACAAAGCAGGAAACACTGTTCGTATTTATTTCACTCAGGCAATTTATGGAGCAGGTTCTATATAATTAGGACCAAACAAGTCCCTTCACACTTTACAAGCTTCTGCAGCTTGTCTGTAAACTTTAGGGCACGTTTCAGTAATACAGCTGGTGGCATTTAATTTTCATTGAAACTTGAAGAGTCAGCTATGCAAGAGTAGCTACTGTAATGGATGTAACCCCTTCATAGCAGAATGAAGTGTGGGGTATTTCCAGGCAGAATTTTCCTCAGTTGTGGTTGGCCACACTGGCTAGTTGGCATCCGATGAAGTGAGCTGTAGCTCACGAAAGCTTTTGCTCAAATAAATTGTTTAGTCTCTAAGGTGCCACAAGTCCTCCTTTTCTTTTTGCGAATACAGACTAACATGGCTGTTGCTCTGAAAACTGGCTAGTATGCTGTAACTTTCCAGTCAGTCCATGATGTAGAAAGTGGCTGCTGAGGTATGTGTTAGAGCAGCGGTGAATGTGTTAATCAGAATGACACGCTATGAGAATAAGAGACTGTCCATAAATGAACGCTGAATTCCAATGAATTTTTTATCAATGCGTATTGGAGATCCCTATAGACACAACAGATGAGCTCATCAAGATGAAGGATGTTACAATGATTGCACATAGGCTGGAGCATCTCAGACTTCACAGCCCTCTCTCTCTCTCTCTCTTTAATTAAATGCTATGAAAAGTCATGTGCAGACTCCTTTCCAGGAGTTTAGTTTCAGATGATTTTGCAGAA